TCCCAAGAGTGCGTCTCAAAACCGGGACTTCTAACGGCAGCTGCAGTGACGCAATGACTATAGAAGGCAGGGCTTCCTTCAATAGAGCAGCCATACTGAGTGTTGCATTTTTCCCCCATTCAAAACTATATGAGCGACACGTCTGTGGGCAATATTAGCCATTTATGGCTGCATTCCAGTTCACTTTTAGACGCACTCGCGAACTTCCCTAAGCACTTACCCTCGGGGGAATCCCCACCGTCATTTTGAAGTGCGTTCCACTTCGTCAAGTGGACGAGGGAAGTTTACATGGACATACCCTCGACCCCTCGATTTTGACCGAGGGAGCGAGTCTGCTTCGTATGCACACTTCAGGCTGGTCCATAGACCACAATGCAACACGACTATGACGTCATCGCAGATCACGTTTAATTTATCCCCACCCCAAACAACTCTATAATATATGAATGATTTTTTTTTTACATTTATAACAGCCCAAGCATATCTATATACATATAGAATGCTGCACCAAACAAATTCGTAAGGGGAAACATGTAAACAATAAACCAACTCCATAGCTGATTCTAAGTGATCAAGGGCTTAGGACGTTCCAGTTCAGCCCATTCCAAGGGTTCCACCAGAAGTGGGCACTCATGCAACGTAATCAATGACGTGCATCCGAGTAAACGAGACGGAGGGAAATTTGTGAGTGAAGGGTATAAAAAAACGGACTGGAATGCAGCTTAGGTCTCAACATTCAAGGGGGCGCTCGCAAGCACCCTTCTGAAACCCAACGTGACAAATAGGACAGCCATTCAGTCTTGTGAACATCACGGACATGCACACGTGGCGGCCAATTAAGTCTTAACATTAGTCATTGTTAGTCAATTTCACAACTGTAACAAATGTCAGCTTATGTACTATCCACAAGTCGGTGGTGGCCATGCATGATAGAGTTCATCCCACCTTATTTCTAAGTAATTATACTAATGGTGTTACAAGCACCCTCTGTCTCCCATTTTTATGAAAATTACACACCATAGATACAATCTCAGAGATTGAGATACTACCAATTTATTGTTAAACTGAATTGTTTATTTGATATATACATGTTTTTTTTCACAGAACTGGACAAACCATGGAGGACATTTGACTGGGGGTAAGCTACATATACAAAGGTTATGTGGACAAGTGCATTTCTACAGTATGTAGGCTTATCTTATACACTGAACAAAATTATAAACGCAACACTTTTCTTTTTGCCCCCATTTTTCATGAGCTGAATTCAAAGATCTAAGACTTTTTCTATGTACACAAAAGGCCTATTTCTCTCAAATATTGTTCACAAATCTCACCGATTTAGACAGATTTGTGAACAATATTTGAGAGAAATAGGCCTTTTGTGTACATAGAAAAAGTCTTAGATCTTTGAGTTCAGCTCATGAAAAATGGGGGCAAAAACAAAAGTGTTGCGTTTATAATTTTGTTCAGTGTAGATAGTAATCTGTTCAAAGATATGGTAAATTTTATATTTGAAGCAAGCCCAAATACCAATATATTTAGGCCTACCTACTGTAAAATATACATTGTCTAATACATATTTGTTTTTAATATATCTGACCTCTAAATAAATGTTTGTTGTTTTTTTTTTTGTTTTTTTTTTTACATTGAAGGATATTGTATACAGGCGTTTGTTCCCTTTTGCTTGGAATTATAAAATGAAGTATAACTGGTTTCATCTAAATATCAAATAAATGTATTTAAAATGGAGATTTAAAAAAAAATAATTTAGAAAAATTGTGGAAATTGACAAAAATATTACATTTGGGCTGATTAAATAACCTCCAAATAAGTATCCTCAAACAAAAAGATCCAATTTTTTTTTTATATAGTCTTATATATTTATTAATTAAGTGTGCAGATATTTTTGTCTCTTGTCTTTTGTAGACAGAAGGAAGCACTGAAAAGACGTCTAGAAAATTTTACTCTGAGTAATCCAGATGTGACAAACATGAAGATCCTGGTGGCTGGACAAATTGGAGCAGGGAAGTCCAGCTTTATTAACTCTGTCCTTAGTGCCTTTCAAGGAGAAATAGTTAATGAAGCAATAGCTGAAGATTTGGGATCAGCTGACAGTCACAGTTTCACAAAAAGAGTAAGCATTATTTGACTTCTATATTGCACACACAAGACTGTAGCTGCTAAGACTGTAGGAATATGATTTAAGGAAATATAGACAAATCATCAACCAAACCAGACATTTGTTTAAAATCATAAGCATTGTGTGATATTTAAAAATATATCTTGCAATTTTTCTCTGTCTTTGTTTACAGCTGAGAGCATACCGCATCAGAAGTGCACATGCAGATTTGCCTTTTGAATTATGTGACATAAAAGGTTTAGAACCTGAAAATATATCTGAGTGTCAAATAGATGACATTGTCAACAGCATATATGGCCATGTGAAGGAGGGATATAAAGTAAGGCATTCAATTAAAAGTTAAAGGGGTCATTCACCCAACAATGAACATTCACAAAAGAAGATATTTTGAAGAATGTTGGTAACCAAACAGTTGCTGGTAGCCATTGACTAGAATGAGAAAAACGTGTTACACATTCTTCAAAATATTTTCTATTGTATTTAACAGAAGAAAGAAACTCATAAAGGTTTGGAACAACTTGAGCGCGAGTAAATGATGACAATTTATTTTTGGGTGAACTATCCGATTAACTACATTTATTTAATTTAAAATTAATATTTGAATGTGTACAGTATCTCTCTCATTTTTATATTTTGTTTTTATTTCATAAACCTAGTTCGAGGAGGAACCCCTCACTAGTGATGATGAACATTACAATCAAAACCCTTCACTGTCTGATCAAGCATTCTGCCTAGTTTACATCATAGATGCAAGTACAGTCCAACTAGCTGCAGAAGATAAGATAATTACAGAGAAATTGAGGCTCATTCGCCAAAAAATCAGTGATAAAGGTAAAACTTTCTGTGATTTTTATCTTTCTTATGCACAACACTGTAATACATAAAAGTTCCTACATTCCACATGGAAACTAGTTTAGCATAAGTGCATATTTGAAATACATTTCAACAATAGATAAAGGTGCTTTAAGTTAACCAATAAAAATACAATATTATTTGCCTTTGTTTTGGACAAGATGAAAGAAATTGAAAACGCAGGAATATATTACAAAATTTAGATTTGTATAATTTGGATTAAAACACTTTCAGTTTTCTCATTGTAGGGATTCCTCAAGTGATTGTCATGTCTAAAGTGGATGAGGCAAGTTATCTGGTCAAAAATGATCTAAAGATGCTCTACAGAAGCCAGATCATCAAAGAGAGGGTTGGTCATTTAATCATCTATACATGTTGTATGTTGTTTTCTGTAGTTTCAGAAACTAATTGTGTTTCTGTCCAGATGGAGTTGTGCAGTTTCAAAGTGGGTGTTCCAGTGAGCCACATCTTCCCAGTGAAGAACTATCATAATGAGATTGACACAAACAATGATGTTGATGTTTTGATTCTCAAGGCATTTGATCAGATTTTGCGTTCTGCTGATGCAAGACTGAGGCGTGGTGCTTCCAACATATGAGCTTTCAAGACAAAAATCAACAATAATAGCACTTAAAGTTGAATGAATATTAAATGACCAAAAGTGTATCATCATCTGAATCAAGAGGTAACATCCATTCTCTGAAGGTCATGTGATTTATAAGCATATACTTTTCACCTACTGTTTTTGTAATGTTATGTCATATTCAGACATACTACTGATGAAATACAGAAAAGCGGTGTCATATTATTCTGATGCCAGAATTTGAAATGTTATTGGGATTTATACACAATATTCCTTTTATATATATATGTATATATCAGCAAGCACTGCACGAAGAGACATTACTGTAGTGTAAGTACCTTTGAAATAAGGACACAAATAGGCCGTATTTACAGCAAATGTTTTGCTGTAACCAAAAATTATGTGTATAAATTGTGAAATAATTATTGAAAAATAAAATTGAAATGAAAAAATAGCTAATCATTTAAGGTTTACAAATTCAAAGTTTGAGAGTTTTCTCATGTTTATAGATTTCACTTGAAAGGGTTTTGAGGAACATTTTATTATAAATGCTACAAAATGTAGTAGGTTACACATTTTTTTATGCATTGTTAATATAAAACTATAAAGAACTGATGCTCACTTCTATTTGCGATTGAAATTGCAATTGCAGTGTTTCCCAATTCAATTCAACCCATGCGGTCTGTGAGAGTTAAATATGAAATAGTTGATTCTGTCATTGCTCCTGCTGCACTGACCTTTTTCTGTTAACGATAAAATGTTTTCATGATTCAACCATGAAAGCTTTCTTGTTGTCATAACAACAGAGACCATCTGTCATCATCACCAAGACTGATTAATATGCTAATACAAAAAAGGTATTAAAAGCCTAAACTACCTTAACATTTACAACTGAAATCTGAAAATGAGTGATTGTAGGAACCACAATACCTGGAATTTAACCATTATAATTATTGAGATGACTGATTGGTAATGACAAGAACACATATTTGTGGACCTGAACATTATTATGGCGAGTGTGTGTGTGTGTGTGTGTGTGTGTGTGTGTGAGAGAGAGAAATGAGAAATCCTTCAGACTCTCACAAACAGAACTTCTTGTTTTGTAAGGATTCAGTTGTTGCCATGGTGAATTTAAAGAATGGTCGCCCTATATAAGGTGGCTTTACCACTCCATCTCTGTCCCGTTCCATCGTTAGTACAGACAACTTTAACAGACTGTAAAAACCCGAACAAACAGAGAGAAAAGAATGTCTTTCTGGTCACCAGCAGTCACACAAGCTTCCAATACTAGTCAAAGATCTCTCAGCAGTGATGTATACCGTTCTGTCGAAATGTTTTCAAATGATTAGCATGTTATATTGGAATTACAATATTTATTTAGAATAAAGACTCTCTATATAAATATAATTAAATTGTATATATTAAGAGTAAATAGTGTATAGATTAAATCTCTTTTATATATACATGTATAGTTTATATTATGTGTATATTTTATGTGTATACAATACAATATTATTTTTTCACGTTGTTACTGTAAACAAGAATATTGTTTTTATGTGACTAGTTAAAGATCAAATGTTTATAATCAGTCAGATTATTGTAAGATTATTATCATTTGTATCAAATGACTCTTTTTCTCCACCCGTCTCTTGTAGGTTTCCATGGGAGACTGCAGGTGAATTATGGTCTGTTTGCAGAGAGCAGTGTTAGGCAGTAACTTATTACTAGTAACTTAGTTACTGTAATAATATTACTTTTTGCAGTAACTAGTAGTGTAACTAATTACTAATAAGATTTCAGTAATAATGTTACAGTTACTATCCATAAAACAGCTTAGTTACTTTTGATGCCTCAACCCCGCTGATTTAAAATCCAACAATCAAATAATTCCTAGATTTATTTTCATAATTTTCACGACTCGCACATGCATGTGATGTCCCCAGTGCAGCAGGCAAGCTTGGAATATGGAAAAGCTTACATTCAGCAGATGGAAATATTGCATTATATTGATTTTGTCAGGAAAAAAGATGATCTGAACACTGTTGTGTAAGTTGTGGCTTTACTTTACTCAGGCATTACATCCCACCCACACCCCTCTGCTCAGCATGTGGTACATTATATTACTATAATTAAACATATTTTTGGAAAATTAAACAGTTTCTTACAAACTTACGTGATTTGATAAAATACATAATGAAATATAATCATATATGGGTTACACATGACAATTAATGAGATTAATACAACACTTCTACTTGAATGTCACTATCAATCACTAATGAGTGTTTGTCATAACTTCTGACTGCGATCCAATGTGGATTTTGATCAAATGATGAGGCAGAAATCATTGTTAGTAACATTCTAGAAGCATTTTATGTGGAAGATACACAGTTACAACTGCGTGAAGAAAAAGTACACTCTTAAAAATAAAGTGCTTCACGATGCCATAGAAGAACCTTTTTGTCTAAATGGTTCCATAAAGAACCTTTCTGTTTTACAAAAGGTTCTTTGTGGTGAAAGAAGGTTCTTCAGATTATAAAAAGTTAAGAAAGAGATGGTTCTTTAAAGAACCTTTGACTGAATGGTTCTTTGTGGAACCAAAAATGGTTCTTCTATGACATCTCTGTGAAGAACCTTTTAAGCAGCTTTATTTTTAAGAGTGTAATGTAAATAGTGTAACTAATTACTGCTGCCAGAAAGTAATAAGTAAAGTAACAATATTACTTTTGAAAGGAGTAACTAGTAATGAGTAATATATTACATTCTTTGAGTAACTAGCCCAACACTGGCTGAGAGATTCCAGAATGGATGTGTTTGGGTAAGGAGCCTCTGTTTCCCGCTCACGCTCAGCCCATACAGGAGCACCGGGATCAGTGAGCTCACGGATAGGCCTACGCCATCCTGCATCCTGGATGTTCTCCGCTGATAAGCCTCGTCCATGGATACATCCTCTCACTTACGGATCTCAAGGGTCCTCACTTCATCCCACCTCTCACGGTTACCATGACGACCGATATAAACACACTACTCACATTGCATTGAATTATTCACAAGCATGACATTATTACACGTTTATTTTCAAAAACACTTCAACAGGTGAATCTCGTTAAAACTATCAACCCTATTTAAAAGGAAAAATCAATTCTATGTTTCATAAGGAAAATGAAGCTTATTTTAAGACTTTTTTGCATTTTGACATTATTTTCATTACAATTAAGCAGATTCCATTGACCAATTCTACTGTATTATTGTAAAAAAAAAAAAACACAATTGTAACTATACATCATTGTCATATTTGTTGTACAGAATTGAATTTATGCTCATTTATAAAAACGAGAGAATTTCTGCTGAACTGTCATGAAAATAATATAATAATGCAAATGTACAAAATGGCTTTAAAATCCTGCATTTTTATGCAAAATATCATTTTGTATTTTTTCTTTTGATTTCTGGATTAAAATATGACTACAACATTTATTTGTAAGATTTGTATTCAGAAAGACATATAAAACATTCTTCATGGTTGTAATTATCTTGTTTAGGTTGTGAAAAATGTCAGACATTTATGAGGTTTTCATGTTCTACATCGAAAGCATTGAGGTTCATTTGTTCCGCTCCCTGTGTAATGTAAAAAGTGCACAAATTTTTATGGTTGTAAATATTTGACACCATCAGCATTTAATGTCACATTTCAGCTTTTTTATAATTTTATGTACAGCACAAAACATTAACACAATATGAAATGAGCTCAGTCTCTGTCTAGACACCAGCGTATGTGCCATTGTAGAAGAAAGGTTTGTCTGACACGCAGTGACCTACGATCTCTGGAGTCCATCTCTGAACCTTCGGCTGGCCCTTCTCATCTGGTCGCACAATGACCGTGCTGCGGGACGCGAGCGAGGGGTCCTCGTCGAAAAAGTTGAAGGGACGCAGGAAGAATCCCACCGTGTTTCCTGGAGTCGCTGTGTTGGGAATGTCTTCAGAATGAGGAATGTGTAAGAATCCCACCGTCACCCAGGCAACCAAATCCTGTGAAAAAAAAAATATATAATTGTCAACTGAGTATTTTTAGATTTTTATATATTTTTGTTTATCTAGTAGTTTACCAACTGCTAGTCAGGGTTATTATCATAAATTAAAAGTAAAACTATTAAAAAACATTTTGTTAATTAAAATACAATAAAAAAAAAACAAACTAAAAAATGTAATTTAAGTTGAAATAGTAAAATGACTAAAACCAAGACTGAAAAAAAAAAAATATATATATATAGACATATATAAAAAACACACAGATTACAAATGTCTAAAACTTGAAAAAAAAGGAAAATCTAAATGAAAACAAATTCAAAATAATGAATAAAAACTAGTAGTATATTGATACTAAAATAACACTTAAAAAATGTAAATAACACAAAAGTGCTTTATTGACACTGATTTAAGTATAATTATTATATTTATTTATTTATTTTTTCTTTTTGCTGTTCCTGTTGCCATGTGGTTCACAGCTTTGGGCATTTGGAGTTACAATAAGTTTGATTGATGTTTCCATTTATCTTATTCTTTTTTTATATCTGTTTACTACATTTTGGGTATTATCTGATAAAATTTCTGATAATCTAGCAGTTTCTTATCAGTGTAAAGCAAATTGTGTATAGTTACTATTCAAATACAGTAATTGCTGTCCAAATATTTTGAACACATGGCTATAGTTTTTTTGTCATCCGATTTTATTTATACACCCATGTAAATACTGATTATGTTGGCTTTGTGTCTACTTTTTAGTGGCCAGGAGGGCCTGTTTGAACTGCACAGAGTCCCATTGGACCTGGAGGTTGAACTGAAGTCTCTTCAAGTCTCTATAAGTCATCTGTGTACCTGGTTAATAATGTTTTCATTGTTGCGAATGAATTCCTCGAAGGAAACAACTGGCTCCCAAGGGTCATTCTGAGTGTAGATGCTAGTGCTGGTGACCTCGTTGTCCTTGTGTCTTGTTACAGCCAACGGGTATCTGCAATCAACAAAATCACAAAGGTTTGCACAAACATATAGTGCAAAAGAGACAAATGTGTTATTCCTTTTAAATTAATTGCTAAAGCCTACCTTGACCACGAAATACCATTTTCCTCCCTCCAGCCCCGGGGCAAAACGCTGTTAGCATGCGAGTTATACTGGATCCGATAGCCCTTCTTATGCCCCCACTTGTTGTTTTGATTGGGATTGTAGAAGTGCAAGTATTTGGGAAACTTCTTGCCAAAGCGGAAAGCAGCACTGCGTTCAGTTTCATGCTGTGTCCTATGCAGTTTTGATTGCACAATGGAGTGTCCTGGGCTCCAGGGGTTGGTAAAGTTAACATATTTCAGATCAAT